TCGTAGTCGTTGTCGTAGTCGTAGTAGTAGCAGTCGCAGTCGCAGTCGCCGTCGCCGTCGCCGTCGCCGTCGCCGTCGCCGTCGCCGTCGTCGTCGCCGTCGTCGTCGTCGTCGTGGTAGTAGCAGTAGTAGTAGTAGTAGTAGTAGTAGTAGTAGTAGTGGTAGTACGTCGTAGTAGTAGTGGTAGTAGTACTGGTGGTAGTAGTAGTAGTAGTAGTAGTAGTAGCAACAGCAGTGGCAGTGGCAGTAGCTAGCAGTAGCACTAGTTTTGATATAGTATAGTTGAGGAAGTAGTATTAGAAGTAGTATCTAGCAGAAGAAGTAGTTGTAGTAGCAGCAACAGTAGCAGCGTTGTTGTCGCAGCAGCAGCAGCAGCAGCAGCAGCAGCAGTTGCTACAGTAATGGTAGTCTGTGGTGGCACCCAGTTGCTCAACTGTTGTGACTAGCAGCAGATGTCGGTGTGGTGCTACTGCTAGCTACTGCCACTGCCACTGCTGTTGCTACTACTACTACTACTACTACTACTACTACTGCTACTACTACTACTACTACTGCTGCTGCTACTGCTACTACCTACTACTACCTACAACTACCTACTACTACTACTACTACTACTACTACTACTACTACTATTTCTTCTACTACTACTACTGCTCCTACTGCTACTACTGCTACGACGACGACAACTACTGTACGACTACGACGACGACGACGACTACTACCTCTCAGAGCCAGGTCCTTGTCCATCTCGGCGTCCTCCGCCTGCTTCGGGTTATTCTCTATGATGTGCATATGTACGTGTATATACACAGATATACTCACATATATATATATATATATACATACATGTATGAGTATATCTGTGTATATACAGAATATATAATATATTAAGCTTATACACATATATACATAAGCGCACAGTGTACGCAAATGGACGTATGTATGTATGTATGCCTGCATGCACGTATGCATATATACATATGGGCGTATATATCTGTAACTGTATATTCATATACATCTAGTTAAATAAGTATACACATGGTGGAGGTGTGGAAGTTCACGTTCTTTGGATCAACGAGGGGTGACAGGAGTGTGGACAGGTGTGTTTGGGGTCTGTGGGTTCAGAACGGAATGAAACTGTGTGTGCTGCTTGGGGATGCACTGTGCAGTCAAGCATAAGAAATACGAAGACTTCACAGATGCCCATGACAAGGATAATCCCTCTTATCCTGGCGCTTCAGCTCGCGACCTCACTACAGGTCCTTCTGACACACCAAACGAAGTCACAGACTCACAGCTATGGGGCCTTGTCATTTTCGTCCTCCTTATTCTCTTTCGCCTGACAGGTCGCCATCTGCAGATGCTCGGTGCATGATCGGTATTGCAGCCGCAACTATCTGATCGACCGCGGGTCTGCTTGGAGTCTCGTGACTGGGTGACTAAGAGGAAGTATCTTCAGCCATGGCAGATGCAAAGCCTGTGCCTGCTTGGTCGTCCGTGACTGACAAGTTTTGGGAGGGCTGAAGATGCTAAGATCAGCAGGTACGTGTGCATGACAGTGCTACCTAAGGCGGAAATCATTTTGTCGGAGCGGTCCTGTCATGTTGATGTCGTCATCGTAATGATGCTTGGGCATACCTCATACCTCCAACCTCCGACCCAGAAACCCAAGTCCGCAACGAAACTTACTCAGCGCATGTGGCGAAGGCCCATCCTCTGCTATATGTCAGGTCTTCAGGTAGACTGCATCGCAGTGCCCACAGGAAGATCCTTGCAAATGTCTCAATTCTTATCCGCAGCCTACAACCCTTCAAGCCACAACTGCTGGACAGTGACTGACTCGAAACACTGAGATCTCAAAACTTCGAGATTTGGGGCCGGTCCTCCTCTGCGGGCGCTTCTTCTGCTGCAGCCTTGTCACCTTTCACAAGAAGCCAGCGGCTCCAGAAAGGTGCATCGTTTGGGGGCTTGGATATCCGAAA